TTTTTCTGAAATGTGAGCATAGAAAAACAGATGCTTCTGCCTCCCAAAGGATCTGTGGGCCTCTCTCAAGTAGTCTTGTGGAGCAATTTCATTTCAACTTTCTAAAATTATGAAAATGTCTAGATTAAACATTAAATTGAGGAAAGAAGGCCCTCTTACATAGAAAACCAAATGAATAACTTATAAATTATTTTTATCTGCTCAGTAATACTCAGCTCTCAATTTCACAGGATAAGGAGGGGTCAGGATGAGAAAGTCTCCCCCAAATGGGTAGATTATAATTCACTGACTTCTTGTACTCATAATTTGATGCTACCTGCATGCCTCAGTGTGTTAGTATGTAAGATTTCTTCCTTCTGCAGAGGAAACTGCTGTTTAACTTTCAGTCAGTGATGATAGGGGCATTTCTGGCTTTTATTCTTTCAGATGCTCTATGTGAAGTTAAAAATAAATTCCCTTAAAACCCTGAATTTTATCTGCATTTCAGATATTACCTCTTATTACACTTATCATATCTGCCCTCACATCAAGCTGTCTGTCATCTCCAACAAATCTTACAAAGGCAAAGTGAATAGTACATAGATTTGCAAACTTGGTATTTTTTCTTTAAATTTCACAGTCGACTGTAAAAACAGCTTTTAAACTCGAAGTGCTGAAACTAATTCAGAAAGAGTTATTATAATTAGTGTAAAAGCAAAGTTGAATATTGTCATGATTACCAAAGTCATTAAATAACTGAGGGTACAATTTTATGCCTTGTTCAACTGTAACAGATGGAAAGAATAAAGATTTAGGCCGAACTGAACAAGAACCACTCTTATTAACTAAATAGTTCTTTTGTACACCATACTGTATACAACCTTCCTATTTCATCCTATTTCCATAAGCCTTGTAGCAAGAATTTTATAAAGGGAAAGACCAAGAGCAAAACATGGCATTTTTAACAGTGAGCTCACATCAGTAGGATTATGGCTGCCCAACATAAGTAAGGTTTCAAGATAACTGAAATCCACCCTATTAAGTACTGGGGGAGCATTTCTGGTGGAAACTATCCCTAAAACATTATACAGATCCTTGGATTTTTCAGTAGAGACCACTGAAAACAACCACAGCTTGATGACTCAACCATTCACAACAAACATCCACGTTCATCCAGTGCATGGTACTATGTTGTCTGCTTTATTTTGTCCCTCCTTTCTCCTGTCAGTCATTCTATCACTTCCTCTGATATTAATGTATTTCTTTCTAATATCACTCCCTGCCTCCCTGTATACCCCTTCTAGTTTTCAGCTTTAATTACTGTGAACTAAAAAAAACCAAGATTGGTAAGAATTGTATGTTAAATAAGAATAAAGACAACACTGACAGAAAGGATGAGGAATTAATGACCGGCTCCGATGCAACAGTTTTGTGACATCTAAATGTTGTTATCTTTAGATGACTTTGCCATCGCTTCCCCTTTAAGGCTACATTTTGAAAGGATGAAATGTGACACAATTACCTTTAAATAAGGCATTTTGTTGCAAGCATTTTGGGACATAGGTAGAAGCAGGTATTCTAATGCCTTGACATTTTTCTGAACCAGAAAAAAAACGTCTTGATGAATGATCCCTTCAGCAGAGAAATAACAGTATCATACACATAATGAAACACTTCTGTAGTAGATAAGGAAATGGAGGCTCAGGAAAGAGGAGATATTTGCCATCAGAAAACTGTGTCAAAGCCGGGCTCCTGGGTTCTCTTCCGGGCTCTTTTCACAGCACACCTGTTCTCTATTGCTCCCTCTTGCATTTTCTGTGCTCCCAGGACACTAAGCTCTGCCGCTGGTTAGAAAGACTTGCTGGTTCCCTTTGGGCTTCCTTCCTCAGTTCTCTCTAATCTTGTCACATGTCCTCAGGAATACTGCTCATTTTTTTCTAGCAGAACTCAAAACCCTTTTGGTTTTATTATGTTGAGGGTTGTCAGTGAATTAAAACTTCGACAAATATATGGTCCCAACTTGCCACCAAAAGTTAACAAATGTCATCAGCAAGGATGTTTCTCACAAGCAGACACTGAAGAATACATCCCAGAAGATACCTAACAGCTCATTTTGTGTCATGGCAGCATGAGAAATCGCCTCCTCAAGACATTCATTAACCTTTTATTTCCTTCATAAATAATCAGTCAGAAATGTGGCTCATATTTTAAATTAATCAAAAACAGTTCAATCATGTTCTCTATCTTCATGTCTCTCTTTGTCTCTCTCTCTCTCTCCCTCTCTCTCTCTCTCTCTCTCTCACATCCTTATAATACGCATGATAAACATGATATTCAAATCTATTGTTCCACTTCTCTAAGCCAGCTTAATCCAGGAGGCCTTCCCTGTCCATCTCAGACCTTAAGCATCTCTTTTACCTCTCCTCCAAGAACTTAGAGCAGTTGTTCACATTTGGCATTTAGTACATACAGACGCTTCTCTACTATGATGAAGTTACATCCTAACACATACATTGTCAGCAGAAAATATCATAAATCAAAATTATGTTCAATATGGCTAAACTACTGAAGATCGTAGCTGAGCCTAAAGGAGCTCACAACACTTAACTGGCATATAGCTGGGCAAAATTACCAAGCATAAAGCTATATTATAAGAAAGTATTAAATACCTCATGCAGTTTATTGGGTTCTATATTAAAAGTGGAAAATTTTTCTGAGCTTACATTCCTTTATTGTTAAACTATAGTTAATGTCCATTAAGGGACAGTTTCTACTAAATGTTTATTGCTTTCACAACATCAAAAGTTGAAATATCACAAGCCAAACCATCATGAGCTGAGGACTGCATCTGTATTTAGAAACCATGCAGAACAATGATTCAAGGATGTCTCTTATTGTGTAATTACCAAAATCTTCAGATGCTTGAGTCCCTCATGTAAAATAGCATGGTATTTGCATATGACCTACACAAATCCTTCTGTCCCTTTTAAATCATCTCTTGATTATTTATCATATCTAACACAATGTAAACATTATGTAAATAGCTATTTTATTGTGTTGCTTGGGGAAATAATTACAAGAAAAAAATATGTACATAGGGTTGGGGTTTTAGCTCAGTGGCATAAGTGCCTGCCTGTCAAGCATGAGGTCATGAGTTCAATCCTCAGCACACACAAAAAGTATATACATGCTCACTGCACACACAATTTTTCTAATATTTTCAATCTGTTTTTGATTGAATTGATGGAAGCAGAACCCACAAGTGAGATTTTTATGGTACTGTTCAAAGTATCAGTTACAGAGGACAGAAAGACTTAAGCTCTAATTCGAGCTGTAGTACTTCCTAGGCCTTGGGCAAATTATTCACTCTTTGGGCTAAGATTTCTTTTCTAAAATGAACTTAAGACTGGACTATTTGACCTCATTAGCCACATTAAAACCTATACAACTTTATTTTGGTAATATTTTATTGTGGTGCTAAGAATTGAATCGAGGGCCTTGTGCATACTAGGCAAGCATTCTACCACTAAGACATATCCCCAGGCCCTTAGGATTCTCTATATGTTAAATGAGGCTATTAAATTTTACTAAGGGTTAAATATACATTTAGAACCTAGTACATTGCCTGGAATATACTAGGTGCTCACATTTGGGAAGTTGCATTTATTCTTATTATAGCCTTTCTTTTATAATTCTGGTTTGCTATGTGTAATGTCTAATGTTTTTCCAAATTGTTTTTAAATCCTTTATCAGCTGCATCCAGTGCACCCAGTGAGGAATTTATCATGATAGGGACTAATGACGCCTTACTTTCATGACTTCTTCTCAATGCCTTATTTCAAATACTATATTCATAATTTTGTCTTATTTTTCTTAAAGAAAGACATTAAATTTTTATTAGCTTCAAGTCAGCATAAAACATGGTTCATGGTCCTTTTAACCCCTATCATATTCCCCTCTTTGTTTCTACCACCTGCAGCCAGAATAGTACTTTGCATATAGTTAATATCTATACTAACTCAATCAATCAAATATTTTATGAAATCTTTAATTAACCAGAGTTCATACTATACTTTGTTACAAGTCAAGAGCCTATCTCAGCTACTCAGTTGAAAACTTTCAACCAATGCATTTGGTTGCAAAATACTCAGCCCATGTACCTATTTTAAGATGATATGAATGCACTTTGAAAACTGTAAGTCTTAGTAATAATGCAGTGATACGCATGAAAATTATGACAAGAATGGTGAACCTGAGGAATGGTTTCTGAGTCTTGCCACCAGTGACATTTGGCTAGATCATTCGAGTTGGAGAAACTATTCTGAACATTGGAGGAGATCTAACAGCATCCCTGGCTTCTACCCATTAGACACTAGTAACACTCATCTCTGTTGTGACTACCAAGCATCCTCAAATGTCCCCTGAGGGAAACCCCCCTGACTGCCTAAAGGCATTGTTCAAAAGATGTGCAGATGATCATGTCTTTCATATTAAGGCAGGAAAAGGAAGACAAGCATTTTAGAAAAGTTTTCAATAAGAAAAAGCAACCTCAGTTAACCTAAAAATCCCATTAACCCCATTCTTTGAGTGTCCTATTCCCTAAGCATTTCAGATAACAAAAAAGGTACTGTATATTCTATTTTCTGACTTGTATGCAAAGTTCAGCTCATTTTCCATCTCAACAGATGAGTACAGAAATCCAGTTCATGGGCGGGGGATCATCAGCTTCATTGCATTTGCCATCTATTTTAAGTGACAGCAATGCTACTGACCTGGAAGTGTAGAGATCCCCCTTCTCTGTTTTGACATTCTAACTTTGATATTAGCAATTCTTCCTGTTTTATCTAGCTGAAAGCAAAATACAACAAAAGAGACATGGTCCAATTAACTGTGATTTTACTGCATATGAAAGACCACATACTCGGCTGATCCTTTAAAAGCATTTGTTCTAGTCATCCTGCTGATTGTGCAATTGAAAATGCCCTTCTTGAATAAGCAATATTTCTCATTTCTTTCTCTAGGTTGTGATCCTGGGGAAACATTCAAGAGGTTATCACTACATGCTTGCTAACCTGGTAAGAACAAGCAGTTTACTGTCCCTAGGCAATATACAATATATTTTGTTTTGGTTTTGTTGCCTGTAATCATCCAAAAAAGGAAATACATGAAGTACTTAATATTTTGTTCTGGAAGCCTGGAAAAATGAGTTTAGTAAATATCAAAACCTGTATGTAATAGCCTTATCTTCAATTATGTTGCCTTTGTTTTAGCTGTGAAACTATGCTCATTCCTTTCCTTAAAATAATTTGATATGATTCCTCATTTTATTATTGTTAGATTCAATTTGCATTTGAAATTTAAACTGTTTTAATTGGGTCTGAAATATGAACCAAGGAACAAACAACACAGAAAACGGATTCCTGCTCAACTGATACAAGTGGATGTGCACATCATTGCCTGGTTTGTCCTTTTAGAAGGAGATCACTGCCAAATCTTTCCAAAACCAGATGCCAGAATGTGTTTCAACAAGGTACATTAAGTGACCTTGTCAAGGTGTAAAAGTGCGTTCCTACCTACATAAAACCCAACTTGGATATTTACTTTGAAATTCCTTGTGTCTTTAAAATTTGTGATGTTCTAAAAGCTAATGTTTCATTAAAGTTATTTTCTACCTCTTCTTTATCTGAAAGAATAATTTGTTTAGGAATTAACAAAATGGCTTCCAAATTAGTAATATCTATTTGGCAGAGGTCCTAAATAATACTGACTTCATAGAATGAAAGGGAAATAATAAATTTTCACTGTAATTCTAAGAATCTATTATATTCTTACATAATATGAGTTCTAACCTCAATTTTGTTTCATTAGCACAACAGAATCATGTTCATTATAATGCTCTTAAGCCAAAAGAATAGCAACAAAGGTGAAAGATTACTGTAATTATAGCCTTAGTTTTTTTTAAATTAAAGAAAATACCTTATTTTGTTCTAATAATGAAAAATTTAAATGAGAAAGGAAATGTTACTTAAATCTCTTTCTTAGAAAGTATGTATATTCAAACACTATAAGATGAGAATTAGAGCCACTGCTTTCAAATTATTTCTCCAACAATTTATTCAAAGTGGAGCACTTCAGTCCATTTCGGGGATAAATGAATGAATTCCTTTTGCAGGAGAAATCTTGATTCTTAATTCACATCTGAATATATTCAGTTTGGTTTTAGGCAGCTGATAAAGGATATTTTTGAGTCAGTGGAGGCTAGACCAGGGCTGGGCAGGAAATATGAATGTCATAACAAAGGCACCCGAGGCTGTTATTTATGACTTTTTGTTATTCTTTCCTCACCAATACATAGGCTCTCTTCACTTTTTCTTCCTCCATCTTCCTTCCCCTTTATGTATCCTAGAAAGCAGCAAAGTATGTATAGCATAGTCACAGGGTTTCAAAATGTGTGGTTGACCTATTATAGACAGTACATGAGGTGACATTAAGTAATATCCCCACAAACTTATTCCAATTGTAATATATTTCTTTAACATATATTCAAAAGCTATTAAACTAATATATCAAAGTCAAAAGTTTATAGATATTATTACCTCATACACAGCTAGAGATTCAACAATAATGAAACATATTTTAATGAAGTAAACAATAGTGTGAGTGATGAAAAGATATACCCAAACCTGTTTTTCTGCATACTTCTGCAAAACGTGGTAGTGATTGTATGTAATTAACTGGAGTTTGGGAAAGAACACTGAACTGGATGTTGGAATGTTTCAGTTATTTTACTAAACTTGATGCTAGCTAGAAATGGTATCTTGAATAAGTAACAACCTCCATGGACACTATGGATGTAGACGTGGGAATAGTAAAGATTATTGATGAGTTGTGTAGGTCCTTTAGAAGTATGTGCCAAGACAGAAATAGCTGTTCGAGACATTTATTAGGAGTAATACTTATGAAAGACAAGTGAGAGAGACATGAGCACAATACACATCTGATCCTACAGAACAAGAGGGAAAGGAAAGAAGTTGGGTAGAAAGATCTTCAGACTGTTGTGTAGATCTCAGAAAGGCTTTGTCTTCACAGTTGGGAGTTCCAATGTAAAGACAGTACATAAAGGACCCCTATGCTGTCTCCAGTGGCAAACCATTACATATCCACTTTTCTCAGCTGCTCAGGAAGTACATCTTTCTTTTTGAAAGTTGAGATAGATCCTGAAGAATCTGGAGGTTGTCAGCTATCTTAACTTCTCGAGGTATCTGAAAGAGAGGTCTCAGTCACGCATATCAATGATTGTCTCAGCTGGCTTAAAAACGACCAGACAATCTACAAAGACTTTTCTCATTCTGGAATTTCAACTTGGCCTCCATATTCCAGAGAAAATCCCTCAGCTGAGCTTCAATTTCAATTTTGAGATCCAGAACTGACAGAAAAGACAGTCTGCAGAGTGATGGAATTGCAAAGGAGAATTGCTAGGAAAAAGGTTGGGGGAAAGAGTGGCAATCTGAATCCAGAACACATAATTCAGAATGATGAGACCTTAGGGGAATGCGTACTAACATGAACAAGTAGAATCTGCTCCTTCAAAAAGAAAGTAAATGTATAGCATCATGTCAGCCTGAGGAGTGAAAACATAAACTCATTTATCATGCTTCTCTTCCTTTAGTGACCTTCTTTTCATCTGAACTCAGCCATGTGTTTCCATAAGTCCCTGTATACTGTATCAAACTGCATTTGGGCAACAGAGATAGGAACCACTGCTCATCTCTGATAATAATAATGGGATAGACTATCCTTGTCACGGTTTCCAGACTTTTGTAAGTAGATAAAAATACTCCCAAACACCTCCAGCAAAGACATACAAATTCAGAGTAAACTAAAACTATTTAAAAGTCATTCGGATGGTCAAAAAAGGGATGTGAAGCTAAGACGATGAGCCATCTGGCCTTTCAAGATGAGCCAGCTGGGTAAAAACTGAGGATATACATATATATATGTATTCTAATGTGAATCTTGGTGTTACAACACTACATAACCACTCCTTTCTTCCACAAATGAAATTCAAGAACATTCACTCTGCCTAACTAAACTTCCTGGAATCACCTGCACAAAAACTCCAAGTGTGGTCTTTAATGTTGAGCTCCACCTATCTGGCAAAGACTTCTATGTGCATTTAAAAGCCTTTTCTAGTAGTCACCTTAAAGCAAGAGTGGAATGTTACATGAATGCTTCAATAAAAGTTTTTCACAGGTCAGAGTGTACATATCAGAATGGACAATAAACTGCAGAAAACTTTAATTTGCTAAAATTCCTAGAAAAAAAAACAAAGATTCTACCAGAAACACAGGTCAGAGATATGATCTGCTCAGGTCAGAAGAGGACAACCCATAAGAGCAAGTGAGTGTCTTACAAATTCTGTATCTGATGATGATGTCGTTTTTAGGGAGTTGTTCCATTATTAAGTGTTGTTTTCTGTTCTAGGACTCCAAGGCAGTTTTTCTACTGCAGTCTAAGAAGTAACCATTGTGTTCTCCTTCTCCCCAAATGCCTCCATTGCAAAAACCCCCCTAGACTAAAATTAAGAATAGATGGAAAACGAGGGAGGTAGTGTGATGCAATGAAAAAACACCAAGACTAGAAGCTAGGACACAGCTTTGAACCACAAAACTTAATTTAACTAGCCTTCTGGGAAGCCAAACCTCTATGGACCTGTTTCCTAATTTGTAAAATGGAAAGTTAGATCAGATCACTCCTTCCCAAAATGTTCTATTTTTGCATCAGTTGATGGTAGGTAGTACACAGAAAAGTTTTCTAACTTGTCAGTTTTAAATTTACATTAAATATGTACTAGAATGTATATCCCACCGATTCTGTGACTTTATAGATATCATTCAATAGATAAGTTTATAGATACCAATATTTACAATGAAGCTAAAGTACGATTTAAAGAGTCTATGTAAAGATTAATATTAATTACAATTCAGATAGCCCACTTAAATACCAAATTAAAACTGGAAAGGTGGGCCAAGCATAGTGGTCCACTCCTCCTGTAGTCCCAATACTTAGGAGGCTGAGGTAGGAGGATTGTCATGTGTTCAAGGGCAGCCTGGGCTACATAGCAAGTTCAAAGCCAGCTTGAACCACATAGAGAGATCTTGTCTCAAAAAAGTAAAAATAAAATGAAATAGAATAAACATTCAAAGGTGGCATACTAGTGACTAAAATTTGGAAAACCCTCTAAGGGCACTTGTAGCTCTATATGTCTTCCTTCTTGGAAATCATTTTGGACAAGGATAGCCCAGGAGTGATAGTGTAAAATATAGCAGCTAAGTGAATGCTGAGGGCCCAAATCGGGCAGTGAAACCAGAGTCCTGTTATCCTTCATGGATTGAAAGTCATGAGGCAAACTAAAGCTCTAAAATCAGTCCAAATAGGCAAAACGTAAGAAGAATGTGAATGCTCTTAGCCAAGTTCTAAAGAGAAATGAGAATCTGAAAGCTCAAAGTAATCTAGTGGTTGACAAAGGTGAATTGTATCTGGGTTAAGGTGTTTCAACAACAGGTATTTGGTAGCCCTTCCCACAAAAGAAAAAGACATAGAAAATGAAGCAGATGAGGTGCCTGGGTGATAGCAGGGCTTATTTTGTACTGTACCAAGTAACCCCTGCTTTAGAAGACCTGACAGTTTACCTGCCTACATGGAGTCTGGTCTCACAGTTAGGATACTTATTGGTCCTGCCAATAGAAGTTATGTTGGCTGCTAGCTGCAAAGAGCACAGAAGCAGACAATGAAACAGGTCCTTGTGCTTCAGGGGAAAAGTGAAAGAAGTTAATGTATATCAGACTCTTCCATGCTGGACTAGCTGTTTTCTTTATGTTTCTCATTTGAACTACCACCTCTCCAAGCCACACACAGATCAAGACGTGGGCTCTGAAAAGGTGCCTAACTTGCCCAAAGTGTCAGAGAATCCACTGCCGAGCTGTGGATAGTTAGCGTTCGTATAGCACTTTGCTCTGTCTCCTTTTGTACCAGAGCATCTCAGTGAGACTGAAGGATGGCCCCACAAAGGTTA